AAAACACTTTTCTTAAAATCTTTACTGCTTTGCAGCTTTTGACACTGTTGATCACCTTCTTCTCCTAGATTCTCCTTCTGTATGTCTGACTGCTTCTTAGTTTCCCTTCTTGGATCTTCGTGCAGGTCAGCCCCACTAAATACAAGTGTCCCCCAAGGCTCTGTCCTGGGCTCCCTTCTTTCTCCTCTTTATCATCTCACTTGTCAATCTCACCAGCTCCCGCTGGTTCAGTTGTCATCTCTATGCACATATTTATTTAATCTAGCTCTGACCTCTTTCTTGAGCAGCAGTCTCATATCGCCATCTACCTTTTACACCTCTCAAATTCAACATGGCCAAAACGGAGCTTATTATCTTTTCCCAAAAATCTTCCCTTATTACGAATTCTCTATTACTGTTTAAACCACCACCATTCTCCCAGTCACTCAGGCTCACAGCTAGGAGATATCCTTGACCCTCACTCTTCCACTCTTTATAATCCAATTTGTTGTTGAAGTCTGTTAATTTTACCTTTGCATCTCTTATATGTAGCCTTATCTCAACTCTCACAGCCGCTACTCCGATGCAGGCTCTCATCATCTCATTCTCGGAATACTGGCAGTAGCCTTTCAGTTGGCCTTCCTGGCACAAGTTTCTCCCTACTCTCAAGTATGACCCCAGGTATATAGGTATATAAAATAGGTATACAAATCATGTATACAGGTATACCTGTATACATGAATCAGTATACATGTACTCATGATAAATTATAAAGAAATTTCTTTTAAAACAATTCTTTGGTATTTATTTACCATTTATTAAAGATGAAAGCAAATTTGCATACTAATGAGATGGATGTGTTTGTTTATTTTTATATAAAGGATTAAATCATGGCAGAATATTTTATACTGTGTGACGCAGAGCATCTTCAAAGTTTTTCAGAGTTGATCGATATTTTAATTTTATGATCGTCAGTGCTGAGAATGCTGCTTCACGTAAATACATGGTACAAAATGGCAGAAGTATGTTTAGGTCCATTTCAGAAATTATTGAAAATTCTGTCCAAATCCCAAGCCAAAATTTGTTTAATGATTTTGTATGTACAGTAAAAACACTGCAATTCATAACATACAAGAGTCTTGAATCTGAGCCGAGGTGTTTACATGGCATGACGGCATGTGCAGTGCAGAGTGTGCATGTTGAGTGTTTAGAACAAGGCTGCAGTGAAGTTGTGTGATAAAACACAGGCAAGTGCTGCCAGAAACACCTCAGATTCATTATGTGTTTGATTTTGAATTAATTTTTGATCATTTCACATTCAGAAACCTCTTACTATTGCCACATTTTTGGAGACCCTCACATTCAGTTACACAACCCCATAGGGGATTGCAATCCACAGTTCAAGAAGCACTGCTCCAGCATACTTCCACTTAGCTGCCAAAGTGGTTTTCCTACGATGTTTTGTTCAGTTCTGTTTTTGCCCTTTTATTCATCTTTGTGTTAGACTTATCCAAAACCAAAGGGGGAATTTGAAATGTCCTACCATTATTATGTTACCATGTATGTATTCTTGTAGTTCAGTTAATGTTTCCTTTATGGGTTTAAATGCTAAGGCATTTAGAGCATTTAAGTTTAATACTGACATTTTTTGTTTATGTTTATCTTTCTTTTGTATTTTGAGTGTTTTTACTCTGATAGCATGATTTCAGCTACTGCTTTTTTGATTCATCTAATGTATAATAAGTTTTTTTAGTTGCTTATTTTTACTTTGTGTATGTCTTATTTGTTTAATGTATTTCTTGTGAGCAAGAGTTATGGGGTTTTGTTTTCTTACCCTATCTATCTGTCATTCTCTTTCATTTTATTGTGTCACTTAATCCTTCACATTTAAAGTTGAGAGTTGGGTTAATGTTTTCCTCCATTTTTTGATATTATTATCTTGTGGTTTTTTTCCCTCCAAATTAGGATTTTCCCTTCTTTCACTATAAATACAACATATTGAGTTATTTTAGTTTAATCTATTTTAAATTAGCCCTGTTCCCGCTAGTCGTTTTCCCTTTACCCTGAAGACAACTCCACCCATCTATTACAACTTTCCCTGGTTTTGGAGCTTTGTTTCATTTTGTTCATTTCTTTTTATTGCTTTTATCGAGTTATTTAATTCTGCCTCTCTTTTTTCCCCCTCTTAGTTAAGTAGTTAAGTAAAATCCCCCGTCTCCTCTTCAGTTTATTTTTTATTACTTTCTTAATTCATTTTCTGTACCTTTTTCTAAAAACAAATTCTTTCCCTCATTCTCTTAATTATTTATCTTTCCTTTCTGTCTCTACTAGACTTTTATTCTTTGACTGATGGCCCTTTAGTCTTTTATTCTCTTTCTTTCTTATGAAATTAAAGCTTTTAAGCTACCTATCTATTCCTCTAAACAGTTTCTATTATTATCTTGTACATCCTTCCGCAGCCCCCTTTTTGTCTGTTGTATTTCACTCTTGGAAATAACAATTTTTGTAGAAGATAGAGAGGATATTGCCCTGTGATAGTATTCTTCCTGTGTTTCTTATTGTGCAAGTCATTATTGACCTTTGTCCTCTACTTGTTAATTTTTTTTTCCTATTTGCCTCGAAATCTCTTCCCTGGGACCATGCCCTCCCACTCTTCTGGATGTCATTTCCACCTTCTTTCCTCCCACCCTGCATTGATTTCTCTTCTTTTGAGGCAGTATTATTGCAGCATCAGATCCCTGCAAATCATACTCATCTATCCATCTCTCTTATCCCATATGTGCATTCATCAATGGTACTTCCTCCCACCACTGAAACCTGATTTCTCCCTTTTTTCTATCTTCCCCTTTGTCTCCTCACCCATTTTCCTCTAGGCCCTCTTCTTCCTGAGAGATTACAGAGTTATTTTCCCTTCCCTTCCCTAACCGTTGACTTTATTAGGGCATATCGCATGTTGCCCTCTATTTTCTAACTCCCCTGCCCCCTTTTAGGCGTCCTCCCATTTTACAATCTAATCCTCCAAAAAAATTGATTCACCTATAAACAGTGTCATGAAGGTTAGTCAATGTTTCAATCCTGTTTCTGCACCATTTCTAAATCTGGCTTCTACTTCCACCCTTGTCTCCTCTTGTATATTTAGAAAAAAATATCTCTTACTGGTCTCTTTGTTATCATTTAGTGTTGTTGTCATCCTTGGTTGCTGTATCTGGTTACCCTTCTTGTATTTCTGTCGTCTGGAGCGTTTGAGAAGCAAATGCTTTCTTCAGGTCTGGTTTCTTTCTAGGAATGTTTTGAATGCCTCTTTTTATATTAAATATGCATCTTTTTTTCATTAGTGATTAGGCTCAGATTTGCAGGGTAGGTCATCTTGAGCTGCTTTTTGAGTTCCCTTGTTCTTTGGAACACATTATTCCATTCCCTCATATGTTTTCCCACGGGTACGGAATAGTTTTGTGTTATTCAGATTTCCTTTCCTCTATATTTGACTGCCCTTTTCCTGGTCACAACTTTTGAGGTTATCTTTTCCTTTTGTGGAATTGAAAAATGCTAAGGAACTTATCAATCTGAATAAGTTAATGTTTCAAGTGACAAAATATCTAGGGCAATGAAATTTCTCATGGCAGTAAAAAGTACATTTTGAATATCCTCAAGCTTATCTTTGAGAGTGGCATTTTAGAAATGGAAAGGGGGAGAATATAGGATCATAGATTTAGAGCTGGAAGGGATCTTTCTTAGAGACCAGTCTAGTACTACTGGCTCATTTTGTAGATGCAGGTACTGAAACTGGTAGAGGTTAAATGACTTGCCCAAGGCAAGTGGCCTTGGGCACAAAGTGGCTGATCTGGCATTTGAACACAGAACCAGTGCTGACTCCCATGGCTGCTATCTTTCTACTTCACCACACTACCTCATCTTTTAAGAACCTCTCCATCTTCTTACTTGAATCCAATAACTTATTTTTGTCCAGATCAGCATTCTGTTCTGATCAGCATTTCCATTAAGATTTGCATGTGTATATATAAGAAGTACTTTATATTCTTCTCAAAAACGGATTCAGATTTCTTTCATGAATATTTTAAGTTTCTTTAAATACCAAGCATTAAAGATAAGCTCCTTTGCATTCTTAAAAAAAATGACAGAGAAAAGCATATTGTTGTTGGCACATTTTATTAGATTGATGTGGACAGCTTTCTTAGCCAAATGAATGAAATGCAGATGTTTTCTTACTCTTTACAAACTTTCTGGGCAAGTCCATTTCCCTCCCTTTTTCAAGATTTACTTTATAATATACTTTCATGTATCACGTAGCAGTACACATAAGAGAAAAATTATCTATAATGTCCTAGATATCACAGAATGTCACCCTAGAGCACAGCCTTGAAGATGGATGCATGTCCGACATCTCAACATCTATAACAATTTAATATGCCGTTAGGAAAAAAAAAATGTTTAGTCTCTAAGATAGAATAAGGATAGAATAAGGATTCTTACTAGAATAAGGAAAAGGTGGTACAAAAATATGTGCAGATCTGTAAATCTTAAAATATTTCCCCTGTAGCATCTTAATGCTATTATCTAATTTAATCAGTTTTGGTGCATACCGCTCAATCTTAATTGTCTTGAATGACCTTCATTCCTTACAATATTGAATAATTATAAATTGTAAAGTTTTCTCATCTCACAAAAGTATTTTTATGCTGCTTTAATTTAAGTTAATACGGGGTCACTCATTATTCTAATTATCTTTCTTGTAAGACATGGGAAGTAGATGGGAAATTATTCAGGCATAAAGGTGCAGAAAAAAAATTAAATAAAAATAATTTCTTATCAAATTCCCTACCCAATTTAGGTGTGTCTGTTATTTGTTTGTCTTATGTATATAATATATATTCACAAAACCCTTTGCTGAGTTTATTCCTTAATGTTATTATCAGCCTCTAATGAGATTCTTTAAAAGCTTCTGAATTTCACTTTATCATGCCATAGGAATTTTATCTAAACAATGTTGTATGTTCTTTTAGACTCAAAATCGCATGAAATTGATGGCTGACAACTATGAGGATGACCATTTCAAATCTTCTCATTCCAGCCAAACCAACCACAAACCCTCCCCAGACCAGGTATTCCTTCTCTTGTCATTCTTTCAGATGTCTGAAATATGTGGGATGTAATTTACGTCTGCGTGTAGAATCTTCATTCCGAAATGATGTTAGAAAAATGAATCATTAATTTCCTGAAAACCATTCCCTAGTTATTTTCATGCACAGACTCTCTATGTGGTAAAGTGGTGATTTTGAACCTTAAAAAAAAATTGGCTACTCAAAATTTTTGAGAATAGTAACAAACTGTTCTAGGAATTTTTAATACTTGAGAAGTTCCTTCTTTATCCTCCTTCAGAAACATACCATGGGTCTACAGTTGTCCTACTTTTTCTCATGAAAGAAACTGTGTCCTGTGAGTAAAACAAACTGAAACTACTTCCTTGTAAGTTCAGTGGAGGGCATAGAAGGAAGTTTAAAAAAAAAACAAACAAATTATCTCTTTGGCATGATGGAAATATATATATCACACAGTACCCCAGGCCACAAAGATGACAAATGGAAATGAGAGGGCTGGGAAAATCAGTTACCTACAGAACATAAATTAAAATATGAGCTTTCTTTAGTTTAATTGCAGATTTCCAAATCTCTTTTCAGTGCTTCCTAGGATTAGGAACTCAAATGTGGAGTCTCTTCCATTCATTTGGAAGAGTCCTTCAGCATGAGTCATTCATTCTCAAGGCAATTCCCTACCTTCAACTTCTCTCTATAATGGAGACAACCATATCTAATTCTTTCTGGGGAAAAGGGAGAGTGAGGGATTTTTCCAGGATCTTGTAAATGATGAATGAAGAAGAGAAGTAAAAGAATTGTCTATATCCCATGCCCTAAAATCTAATTCCAACATCTCCATCATACCCAATATTGAAGTATTTTGCTAAGGAAAAAATGATTAATTATATCCATATGACTAAAAAAGTAAAGAAAAATTCCTCTGTTAGCCATCTCTACCAAGACAGCCCCTCCACTGTCTTTTAGGAGAAGAGGCAGAAGTTTATAGATCAAAGCAGTGGTTTCTAAATCTTAAGTTTCAATGGGAATGTCTAATTATAGTAGCATATCATGTACTGTACCAGTATAAGTTGGTCTCACACAGAGAGTGAGAGAGAGACGTTACAGTATAAATAAGCAAAAAGGAAGCCTGCCTTTAACTAGTGTTATTTTAACTCTTCATTATACTATTCCTTTAATAAGAAAGAAAACTTTTTATTCGGTTATTAAAGTAAAACCTTGAATTTCAGGTAACCCTTGGAATTAGAATATCGGATTAAATTTAAACTAAGGCATGTATTATAGATGACAGGCTTTTTTTGGGAGCAGTTTTTAATGGGGATATGGGGTAACAAAGCAAACAGACACTAGCACGTGAGTTGGAGAGATAGGTACCATATAGGTGAAGGAAAGGGTACATAAAACAGATTGGGAGCAAGCAGCCTAATTCACAATTTTACCTAGAACCACTTTATGATAGAAACTTCCTCTCTTAAAGGTAATAGAGTAGAATGTATAAATCGTAACATATACATACTAGAAAGAAGTGCATTTCTTGAACTAAATAGCAAAGAGTGAACGTTTGGAAAAATTTCATGAACAGACAATCTTACCTTACTTTTAACTGCATTTTGAGAATGTAACTTTCTGAGGGAGTCTTTTTAGATTCAAAATCACCTGAAATTTATAACTTTATAAGTCTCAGTGAGTCAGAAAACTGGGTGGGGAGGTGGAAAGGACAAAAACAAGGAAATTAGAGTCCAGTCTTTTCTACTTTATCCTTATGTCTATGTTTGAAATACTAACCAACTCTTTTTCATTCCCATGCTGCTCTGGGGCCTTATTCCCCTTGTCATCTCTCTTCCAATAGGATGAGGAGGAGGGTATATGGGCATAGCCAATCAGATGCTCTTAGTTCAGCCATTTTGTTCAGAACGGTGAGAAACAGTTTTCCTTAATTGTAGAAAAGTTGTTTTTTACACAATCACTTGCTTCTGTGTGATTCATGAATTTCCCTTTTTTCACATGGTGAATGTATTGTGTTTCTGACATCCTTGTGTTTGGGTGATGGTGTTTTTCCTGTTGTGTGTTTTCATTGAGGAGAACTTCCAGGGCATATAATTAATTTTTTCCAGCTATGATTTTTTTAATAGATTATCATATTTAGGATGCCCTCATAGGGTCCTGGTAACATAAAATGACTCACACAAAACTGAAAGCAGAAAATAGACCCTGTACTGTGCTATTTTCTAAATGGAATAAGTCTGGTTTGGGCTTTGGGCAAATTCGTTGTATACGGCAATTATTCATACATGAAGTCTTTTTTTAAAAGCCCCCAAAATTTGAAAAGGACATCCAACTAAAGTCTTATTTTATTTTCATCTATAAATGAATGTCCTAAGGCCACTGACTTAGGATAACTCATTTGAATTACTGGAAGCAATAGTTTAGCCCCTATGACATTTTTAAAAATTATTCTCAAGCAACTGCCAATACTGGGGAGAAGGGAGCAGGGATTTTTCTAAAAGTCATCGCCAAGAGCTATCTATCTTTCTTCTTTTCTAGAAAAACAGCTATGTTAAACAGCTTCCAGGATGCTGTCTAAATTTTTATTTCCAGGCCAAAATTTAATACAGCCTTGGCAGCATCTCCCTTTGATCTTATGCCCTGGAGGTTCCTTAGGAAATCCTTTTCTGTAACAAAAGAATAATTATGATTATGAAGTTCATATTCATTGTGATATTATACTCCATTAGATTCACTACCTAAGCGTATTGGTGATCTCACTGTTTTAGAATTAGTTCTTTTTGAAATGTCTTGCCTTATTAAATTGCCTACAGTGATTAGAACACTCATTAGGGAACACAAACAAGGATGATAAGGTAAGTTGATGGAAATGGGTACATACTATAGGGAAAATCTCAAATAACTTATACCTTGAAGGTATGAAAGGACAGAATATAACTGATACCAATAAGCAAATTCTTCAAGGAATAGTACAGAGCTTTCTGACAAGGGGCTAAAGCTGGGTAAACTTACTTCCAAATGATATAAAACAGCAACTTCAATAGAAAAGTTACATGTAGTTTATCAGTCTTTCTTTCAAAATGTAAAAACAAATGATATCAATAGAAATAAAATATTTCACTTGAATCAGAGTGTTTCTGCTACATGGCATTTCTAGTCAGAGGAGCATTTATCAGTTGTGTATCCCCATACATACCTCCTGCTAACCTGCCCTTTCCAAGTGTTGATATCAAATGTTTTAATGTTTTAGGATTTATCCTCTTAATTCAACTAACCTGCTATATCTAAGCAGTCCCAATTCACCAGACCAAATTGTGCTTGACATTCCATACAGAAGCCTTACTAGTCACCCTCACCCTCTCTACCAGTTTTCCACCTCTTGCTCTGGACTCAGTAATTAAATTAGTACTATCATATTACCTTTATTACTGGAATGAGCATGTCAGTTAACTGCCCTATGCATTACTTCACCACCCCTTTGACTTCTCACACAATCTTTCTCCGATAAACACTCACCAGTATACCACAATTGCTGGCATATAGTAAACTCTTTATAAATAAATGCATTTCTTATTAATTCATTGAATAGTAGCACTAAATGTGAAAAATTCTTGTGTCTCGTTCCAAATACTAACTAGTACTTTCATTTTTCTTTCTCCCTCTGCTAATTAGCTCCATGACCATATAGTCCAGTTCATATCCTCTATAAAATATTCAAGCTCGGTAGAACTCCTGTTTAACTAGCTCCAGTGAGGAGGAAGCTGTCATGTTTTGAGACAGCCCACTCCTCTTTTGGACAGTTGTAATCATTAGGAAGTATTTCCTAACATTAAGTTTAACTTTGCCTTTGTTCTGGTTCCATCTGTTGTTCTTAGTTCTGTTCTTTGGGGTCAGACAGAACCTTTTCCACCTAAACAGATCCAATATTAATAACAAACAGATTTCTATACCATTACCTGTTTGAATAGCATTAGACAAACAAACCCATCTATGCTACCTTCAGTCTCACTTATTACTCAAGCTGTGAATTACAAAGGAGAGTTTTATTCAATATTAAAAAAAAAAAAGAATTGGCTGTTAGTAGTGGCATAAACAGTACCAAGACGTTAGGCAAGTAGACAAGAAAGGGGAGAAATAACCAATAAAAATGACAGGAAACAAGAACTAGGAAAAAAATGTTGGAAGTCAAAAGGAAAGTAATGAGTGTTCAGTTCTACTCTTCAGTACCAAGGAAAATAGAGCGAAGCATGATATAAAAATCTTTTCCTTTTGTTGCTAACTGAACATCCTATTACCTGTAGCTGGTGGCCATTGAGATGATCTAGAGATACGGAAGGTGCTATTGACACATTGTTTCTTTGCGCTTCATTATGCCAAAGTATCTATATAAACTAGCACCAAAACTCCCTCAAGCAAAGTATATGCCTTCTAAAAAATACAATATTCAATATTGGTTTATAGTTATTCTTCTGACTAAAATCTGGAAGTTGATTGCTTGCTTATTAGATCAGTGTAGCATCCAAATAGTTTTGCTTAGACATATAGATAGATAGGTAGATAGATATCAAACTCTTATTTTTTTTTAAGGGACTATGGAAATACTGGTAGACCCTTTCAGAAGAATAGTGTTTTAATAGTGTTTTTAAGATAGTTTTTTTTTTACATTTTCTTTTTGTTTACACAATTTGGGTTGTTCATCATATCTTCTTATTACTTTTTTAAATTTCCTAAGTGTTCATCATGCTATTAACAGTGTAGTTATCAACACTGTAATGGAAGTCTCTTAGATCTCCAAGGAAACTTTCTGTGGGTGGGAAATGTCATCTAGCAAGATTGGACAGAATAGCATATAGAAATAATGTTATTAGCTTGGAGAAAACACTTATTTCAATGAAACTTTATAAATACTCCCACATAATAAATATTAAGATCAGTTTTTGAAATAGAAGAGTAGTCAGGGCAAAGCCTAACCATGGGTTTTGAAAAATGGTTCAGAGATAACG